CATGTGTTTTTCATATGATCGCGGAAAGCCTCGGAAAATCAATATGGCTATTCAGCTATAAATAAGAGGTCAATTCCTATTGTTCTTTTAGTTAGTTGAGCAAGCAGTTTCAGTTCAGTTTCAGTTTACTTCATTCAATTTATTCAGTTCAATCAGTTTAATCAGTTACTTATTCAAGAAATTGATTTTATCTATCTTTTACTTTACTTTTACTTTCACTTTACCCCTTACTTAAATTTTGTATGGAATCCCATATAAAGTTTGAGTGAAAAGTAAGGTTTTATTAAAGTGGAAGTGAAGATATTCAGAATTCTTCTTATTAATTAATAAAAAATTAATAATATATTATTAATATTATTCAGCATTCCCGACGCCGTCTGATATATAATTAATTAGAGTTCGAAATTTAAAAAAAAAAATTTTTTAAAATATAATTTATTTTTTAACTGATATACTATTAATATTTTACTAATAAAACTATATTAAAAATATATTCGGATTTAAATTCTTTATTAAAACTATACTTATAGTTCTTTATACTAATCTAAAGATATTTTAAATAAAAAAAATATTAGAAAAAAACGGAATTTTAATTAAAAAATAATAATTTATTATAGAAGATATAGTATTATAATACAGATACTACAGCTATTTATTAATATTTTAATAATATTAAAAAAAATATAGAATATAGATATTATATATATATATTAAAATAAATAAATAAATATAGAAACAGTAGAAAAACACAGGCTTTTTAATATAAAATAAATAATACTAATAATGTCGAGAATGTTAAAAAAATATATAAAAGTATATTTATATTATTAATATTATTATTAAAAAACCACAGTATTTTTAAAATAAAATAGTATTATTTATAATATATATTTTAAACGGAACTAGCTTATAATTTTCTACTATCTGTTATTATATTTTTAAAAATAGTTAGCTTCCGCACCGAAACAGCAGTACTATACTACTATTATACTACTAAAAACAGCCGTATATAAAAAAAGTCTAATTATTATAAATAAATTCTATAATTATAGTAGATTATTAATAATCTATCTACACATCCTCCGCGCAATAATTATAATATTAATAACTTAGATCTTCTTCAGTATTTAACTCTTAGGACCTTACTAGACCTTTAGAATAGTAAGAATTAGTCTTGAAATCAATAGACTGCTACTATTCTATACCTAACTGACCTTTTTCCTTTACAAAAGCTTACCGGGCCCCACCCTAGGTCTGATGAAGGTTCATCAGACCAGCCCTTGTAGATTAGAGCGAGGCTTTGCGGCGAACCTACAATATGCTGGATGACCTGCAAGCATTCCAGGAGCTTAAGAAACGCGTCAAAAGCATGACTGGAGCTGCAAGCCGTTGTCGTAGACAACGCCTACGCGGCAAGCATCGATGGTCTTCAAATGGCCACAGCGGAGATTGAGGCGGCTATCGCTACCATTCAGTCCAACGCGTCGCTCCTGGACAAGGATCCGCAGGTGTCTAACAAAGGCACGGCCGAGTTGAAGGCATACTTCAAGCCTCCGACCATTCAATTTCGCTTGCCTCTGGCCCGGCCAGCCCAGGGCACCTCTGGACTTTCCCCCCCGTGTGGGCACGGCACTGAGTGCGAGTGTCTATCACGATGGAGACAACGAGCGAGCCTATCTTTACTGGCAAGACTCGGCACGGGAGATCACAACTGCCCTGTTTGCTGACGGTTCATGGACGGTCGAGAAGAAGACGGTATATAGCGGAGCCGGTCCGAATACGCCAATCGCGTCATGCTGCACAAAGGACGGGAAGCAGGTTCGTATATTCATACAATCCCCTCACCCTCCTATTTAAGTCGAGGTGCTATGGTAACGCATTGGCACTTACTTATGTGTACTAGGTCTCTGTGTTTCACTTGTCTAGCGAGGGAAGCATGGTCGAGACAAGCCTGATGGGTGCCGCATGGGGTCCCGGAAGCCTCGCAGAGATACTTCAGTCACAACCCCAAGACGACCGTGCTCACCTTGCCACTCGTTTGGCAGCCATTCCAGCCGTCGAATGATCAGAAGTGGCTGTTCTACCAGACTGCGGGTAACCTGAGGCTGATGAGTGCCCGCTACTCGCCTGAATCTAAAAACTGGTCTCTCCAGCCCGTGCAAGTTGAAGAGGAGTACAAGCAGGACGACAAACCGATGAAAAGAATGGCTAATATTTTCCCAATTGTTGGCTCGGCGCTGGGGGCTGTCGCCGTTTTAGGAACCACCTCGGAGAAATTAATGCTTGTGTATCAAGGGAATGACCTCAGGACCTACACGCTGATGCATGAAAATGACACCTGGACCCAGGGTATGTGCGATGTTCTTTAGCTCCTCTTTCTCACCTTTTCTTTATCGTTCTTGTGACTTCATTTGTGTCGATATATACTTGTCCGCATCTCCCCTCTCAGAGCCCTTGTAAGTGACCCGTGTGTGTTGTATTTCGCAGCTCAGCGACCCCTCGGCGACAAACGCATTCCCCTGCAGTCCAATCTGTCTCTATACGTGGAGGGAACCGGCAACATCGGATTGGCCGTGAATAGCGACATGAACGACATTCGCGTAGTGTCCTGGTCCAAGGACAAGCAGACGTGGTCGGAGGCCACGGTTGTGGCGGAGAGCTTCAAGGGAATCGAAATCACAGTGGCCAGTTGGAACAGCGGGAAACTGTTCCTGTTCACTCAGGCTCCTCAGAGCCCCGATATCAACCAGTTCTCCTGGTCGGGAGACAATTGGAGCACGCCAATCCCTGTCAGCGGGCACGACCAATGATCCTAGGGTTGCTCAAACCACGCATTATAATTATTAAAGTATTTATAGAATCAAAGCGAACAGAATGGTTGCTAGAAAACCGAAAATGCTCCCCTGCAGAATAATAAGATACAGTTAAGCAATAAACCAGCTCTTAGAAGACGGCAGTATAATAGTTGAATATCAGAAACCACAGCCACGAACGACAGAAGAAAATCAAACAGTATTAGACCGTGATAGTAAGCCTTGTTGCGTGCGAATATAGCACGTGACGCCAAGAACGTCGAAACATTAGTTAGACTCAGAAAGCAGCATCAAGTATAGCCGTTTTTGGCCGCTGGCTAACTGTTTCATCGTTATATAGCGTTATTATTATGAAAAAATAAGAAATTAACAATAAAAACATCTCTTGTCTCCGGTAACTAAACCCTAATAATAAGAAATAATGTAAACCCTAAAAATCAAACATCTAACTTATTTAGTATATCTAGTTTATTCAGCTTATCTGGCTTAGTTTTGTTACCATAATTCAGATCCTGGCTTAAGTAATTCCAAGTGTAGGAAAACTACTCAAATTCTCAATTCTTAAGAACTTCTTGAGGATACGCAGGTATGTTATAAAGATTCTAATAATACAGCCTGAGTGGTAGGGATATAATTAGTAGTTATAGCAAGTTTCAGCTCTATGGGAGTTGGTGGTGGTTCTAATCCTAAGTCTGTTTTCACCTATGGTAGGGCTGGTAGAGCCCTTACAGTTGATTTATTATCTAGACAGCAGCCCCGAGAGGACATTCGCATGAAACAGGAGATCGCTTTGGTGCAGACAGTCCAATTGCTGGACGAGTTGGATGATCGGGGTCCAATCCCCTCGGTAGAACACCAGTGGCGGGACCTCGTTCGCCGCGAGGTATTCTACCAGTTTCCGGTCATTGCCTGTCCGGCAGAGCGGGGGGGTGTCAAGCAACAAGGCTGAGGACTAATAGTCCTAAGTATAGATCACACTATCTATGGAAACATGATAGTAGTGTCAGAACCCAATCAAAATCCAGATGTAAGCTTCTAGTCCGGCCGTGCACGAGTATGGTGCATCTATATATGGTAGGTATATACCTGTACAGTAAGGGGGGAGGGCCGGCTAGCCGGTCCTGAGAGGAAAGAATGGGATACGGTCAGATCACGTGACAAAATAGGATCACCTTATGCTCGATCTCCACCTGGAACTGCTGAGCGGCCAACTCTCGAGCTGACGACCAACAGCGTTTGGGGGTTATGTACATACTGACTAAAGTACTCGGTATCTAGTGTACATACACTACGCCGTACACCACCTTGACTATTGACTAAGGTAGACACCGCTGTGGCTTGGAACTATTGATTGCTAGGGCAGCCGCCATACCAATTGCGGAGTTAGTTCTTCGTGTCGGAAAAAATACCCAAAATACCCAAAATACTAGAAGTACCGAAAATACGAAAATACCCGGTCTATTACCAACATACTCAACAATACAGTCAGTACGTCGCGCGCAGCAGTCGGTATCACACCCAAAGTCTCAACCTCCCCACCACAAGAACAAATTTCCGTTAGCAAACAAGGACGGACTTTGTGTTCTTTCGGTTACAGGTGAGTTCAGTACATTGTTACATTGTTCTTGTTGGGAATTCTGGATGATGTTCCTCAAAGCGGTCGAAGACGTTGAGGTGTCAAAGTCTAGGGCAGTGGTCCGAGTCTCTAATCTTTCTTTACATTCTAGGCTTCTAGCCAACGGCTTCGGCTGGAAAGACAATTATGCACCTGCCAGCTGGCCGAGCATATGTGGTGAACACACTGACACTGCACTGCACTACTGGAACCAATCGGTTGGGCCGAGCTGAATACGGCGAGTGGATCGGCCTGGAAGTTAACAGTGAAATCAGCCAGCCACAATTGCCAGCACAGCACAACACAGCAGTTCATGCTGTCTGGTTTAAGGTTAGTACGACCCCACTGCTGTCAGCCATGCCTCGCTTATTCCACCAGGGAGATCTAGACTGGGCAGACAGACTCGGCCGCCCACTCGGATGCATTGTTTTTATTTATGATATCGAAGGGAGCCAGCAGGCTGCCACTGACTTGCTTGTCTTCCTCCCTCTCCCCGATTTTCATCCTTTCTTCTGGTCCCTCCCCTTTGCTCTTGGTTCCAATATTCGATTGCATGATCGCCATTTGTAGTTGTAGTCCGATACATAGACGACCTACAACCACGACCAGTATGGAGGCGGCTCCTGCCAAGATGACCGGGTACACCCCCCTCGAGGTCGAACTTCCCCCGGTACCTACGACGCAGGTTCTGACCGATCTTCAATGGGAGACCATGCTGGCCCTCGCCGACACGGTGATCCCGTCGATCCGGAGTCGTGGCGATGATGCGGATGTCTCGTCGACCAAGTACCACGCTGTCACCGAGAGCCAGCTAGAATCGGCTACCTCCAGACTCACAGCCACGATCAGTCGAACAACCTCCCAAGCAGCCGAGCTAGCACAGACCTATCTGCAGGAGAGTCCCTCGTCTCTGCCGGCATTCCGCGCGGGCCTCCAGCGTCTGATTGCCGACTACATCCATCAGGAAGGCCAGACCGGGCTGCGATTCATCCTCGATGTTCTGAAGTAGGTGGATGGAGAATCGATACATGCACATGGGCTAACGATCAATGGGGCCTGGCCAGCACTCGAGCCGGATCCCTGCTTCTGACCGGGTCGACGACCCCCATCCAGAACCAACCCTTGGCAGAGCGCGAGCAGGTGTTCGCCGGATGGGCCTCGTCGCGATTAAGCCCCATCCGCCTCATCTACCGGTCGCTCTCGGCCATGTTCAAGACCACCTGGATGGTGGCCAGCCCGACCCTGTCTACCGCCGTGGGCTTCCCCCGAGTCCCCCTGCATGGCAAGTCCGCGCCGGGTTGCTGGGAGTACGAATTTGTGCAGTTTCCTCCGAGCGACCATGACGAGGAGAACGAGAAGGAGCAACCGGAAGTCCTCGAGACGGACGTGGTCGTCATCGGCAGTGGCTGCGGCGGTGCGGTGGCGGCGAAGAACCTGGCCGAGGCCGGACACCGCGTGCTGGTGGTCGAGAAGTCGTACCACTACCCCTCGCAATACTTTCCCATGGACGGCCGTACTGCCCCCGTGAGTCTGTTCGAAGGCGGGGCATCGATTCTCACGGATGATGCCTCGGTGGCCATCTTTGCTGGATCGACCTGGGGTGGCGGGGGCACCGTCAACTGGTCGGCGGCGCTGCAGACGCAGGCCTTCGTCCGCCAGGAGTGGGCCGATGACGGGGGCCTGCCCTTGTTCACCTCCGCTGCCTTTCAACAGTCGCTGGATCGCGTCGCTGCTCGCATGGGCGTCAGCGCGGCCCACATTCAACACAATCGTCAGAACCGCGATCTCCTCGAGGGAGCACGCAAACTGGGCTATGCGGCCGAGGTGGTGCCGCAGAATACGGGCGGCCAGGAGCACTACTGTGGGTATTGTACCATGGGATGCTCGGCCGCAGCCAAGAAGGGTCCCACGGAGACCTGGCTGGCGGACGCAGCCAAGGCTGGTGCGGTCTTTGTCGAAGGCTTCAAGGCAGATAAAGTCACTTTCACCACGCGGGGCAAAGAAAGAATCGCCACCGGAGTGGAGGGGACGTGGACCTCCCGCGAGGCGTATCTGTCCCGGGGCCAGAAGGGGCAGGGGATCACACGAAAGGTGGTCATCAAGGCCAAGAAAGTGATCGTCGCTTGCGGTACGCTGAACAGCCCTCTGCTGCTTCTCCGCAGTGGGTTGCAGAATTGGCATATCGGCCGGAATCTTCATATTCATCCAGGTAAGCCACCTCATCCGTCCCGCCAGGCCACCACGACCTAACCACTCATGCTCCGCAACGGTAGTCCTCTTCGGTGCGGCCGTGTTTGACGAGGAAATCCGACCCTGGGAGGGCTCGGCCCTGACGGCAGTTGTCAAGGAGTTTGAGAATCTCGATGGCCGGGGCCACGGAGCAAAGATTGAAACCACGGTTACCATGCCGCCGCTGTTCCTGCCCATTTTTCCCTGGCGGAGTGGCCTCGACTATAAACTGTTCTGTGCCAAATTGAGCGCCATGACCAGTTACATTGCCGTCACCCGGGATCGTGATTCCGGCCGCGTTTATCCCGACCCCGTCGACGGTCGCATCCGCGTGGCCTACACTCCCTCCGCATTTGACCGGAAGAGTGCCGTGGAGGCAATGATTGCCAGTGCGAAGATCGCTTATGTCTCGGGCGCCAAGGAATTCCACGTCTCGTACGCGGATATGCCCCCCTTCTGTCGATCGGAACAGGAGAAGAACGAACCAGACGAGGAGGGGATCAACAATGCAGAGCTGCAGCAATGGATCACGCAATTCCGCCAGCAATCTCCCCTGGACATTGAGAAGGCGGGCTATGCCAGTGCCCACCAGATGGGAACCTGTCGCATGGCGAGCACGGCGAGTAAGGGGGTGGTGGACCCGGAATGCCAGGTCTGGGGTACGCAGGGGCTTTATGTTATGGATGCATCAATCTTCCCCAGTGCAAGCGGCGTGAATCCTATGATCACCAATATGGCCATCGCGGACTGGGCCAGTCGGAACCTGTCGAAACAGATGAGGGAGGAAAAGGCATAGACTTCCCGCGTCGGGCCTGGACCGAGCGTTGGTTTATTGCATCAGAGGACCCCTGCTGTTCGATTCAGTACCTATGAAAGATACGTCAATCACATGACACTATCTGAAGTTTAGGGTTTTTGACATGGAGGGAGGGTTGCTATCCTGCCGTGCTGATTATCTACGTTCTACATCGATTCAACAAAGCCTGGACAACCTGCCCGCATGGTACGATCATGCTCTTAATTATGATATGCTTTGCGAGCGTCTTTTTTCTCACCAACGTTCGAATTACGAGACAGTGTCCTTTCATCCACCTCTTTAAATAAATGGTTGATTTTGAGTTTACCGCCGTCAGAATAACCGTATTGGAGTCTATTTTCTGGGTAGGATTAGAGCGGAAAAGGAGGTGGATCAAGAGTATGATGCCCGGTGAACATACCTCAACCTTACCAGATACATGCCGCTCGTATGTCACTCCGTTAGTTTGTTTGCTGAGGTACTCGGGCAGCTCGGAGTTCCCCACTTAGGGTGATGCATAGCTATACTGTTGTTTCGTCTCCGTAGCAGCTCCGATCGCACGAAAACCTGAGAACCTCGAGATCCCAAACTTGCTGAGTCGACTTGTCTCCGAGAACAGCCATCCAGGCACGGAGCGTAAGATTGATTGGGTTGGGCGCTGCGTGCTGCGTGGTAACAAGATCCCTAGCGAGCAAGACTGTATGTGTTGACAGGTTGAGTGGGCTCGTGGATTATAGTATGCGAACCGTGTTTACTGAGGTTTTTAAGGTTTGATAACCCGTAATACCAATCTTGCACTCGATGTTGGTCTGTAAAAACGGGTTTCGGGAATAAGAATATATTAGTCTCAGACTTAAACAGTATCGCGACCAAGGTCTTGTATCCCCCATCCATTCAGCCTCTTACAAGGCCAGCGCGAGACCAAGGATGCCACCCACACTGGCAATGCCCATAGCCCAGCTTCCAGTAGCAACAGCTGCGCCCCCGGTAGAGATGGAGGTCTTCGATTGAGTGGGACTGGAAGTCGAAGTTGCGGATGAGGCAGAAGGCGAGCCTGCGGTGGAGCTCGGGTCCCACCCAGTGGCTAGGGCGCTTTCGGAGGACAGCAGGGAGGCGTATATCGCTTCCTCACTGGAGAGGACAGCCCTGGCACCAGTTGGCAGGTTGGAGTACCAGGACGGCATACTCCCTGATTTCTCCGCGAGGATTTCCGAAGAGAAGAACGCTGGATCGGTCCTCATTCTCCCCCACCAACTTGTCGGCACAGCAGTCTCTAGAACGGACAGGCATCTGGTGAGATTGATAGAGTCGACGGTGCTCGTCGCCGACTCAAGGGGAGGGGTGCTCGATGTTTCGCTTGGAACAAACTTGGTGACCCCAACCACAATGTCGGTCCCCGTTACGGCTTCGGTGGTGGTCACTGTTCTAACCACGCGGGTAGCCAGGTGGGTTGTATCGGCGAGCGCAGTCAGGATGTTATTGGCGCCGAGGAGGGCAAGGAAATGGAAGTACATGATTGACCTCCAAAAGAAAAGTGCACACGGGCTAAGTTCAGGGGGCCATCACAGGTGTTTGTGATGTGCGAGGTGGCTCGGAAGGGGGAAATTGTATTAAAGTAGTGTTATGCACTGACACCTAGTGGATGGCTAAGCAACATGGGGGGATGGCTAAGTCAAGGGTCCGTGAGCTGGCTAGTGGGTGCACAGCCCCCATCCAACTGTCATCCCACCGTCTTTGAGCTGCTATTTTAAGATAGGTTTGCATGGGGGCGTAGGCTTAGCATACATAGTTGGCATATCCAGAGGAAATCTCGTTCACGCGGAGCAAGAGCCGTGACTATCTGGCCATGTGCTCACTGCATCCCCATCTAAACTCATAAGTTACCAGAACATATCTCGCTGTAGGCGGCAACTTTGCCAAGCCAGTGGCCAGATTTTGTTGGTTTGCGCATTATTCGAAGGCCAGATTGACTCGAAAATCTCTAGGTCCGCACTCCGCATCGTCCTATGGCGCGGGGATGGCCGATACTGGTTTTCCGCCCGTACCATTCCCGAGAAATCATCCAACTGCATTTTCCAAGCCCCGGCCATCTCCTTGTCATTGTCATGACTCCTCCCTAACACCGGTGGCCTGGGTTCCCGAACCACCTATCGTCATGGTAGTGCGCCAATTGACCCACGCGTGGATGAAGCCGGTGCACTTTTAGGTAGCCCCTGTGCGCGGTCGCTTGACTCGGACCAGGGCTATCGCTCGGTTTGCCCCGCTGGATGCGCATAAAGATGGCGGTGGCCAGCGACTCATCGATGGCGGAATTGATCGTTTGGTCGCGAACCATCCACTTGGGACAACCACCGCCAAGCAGCTCTTGCTCAAGGGGAGTCAACGCTCGCGGCGGGGAGGGCGTCAGTTCGGAGGCCGGTCGATCGGTGGCAACCACAGCGGAGAGGCAGATCAGAATCAGATGTAGCATTCGTAACGCCGCCAATTGGCCCAGGGCGTCGTATGCGGCCGCCCCTACCGGATGCCCACGGTGCAGTTGCACGCAGATCCGCAGCGTGCGCAGCACAGTGCAGGGGGTGGCCGCGGCAGCGATAACTTCTGCCATGAAGATTGGGGCAACTGGTCCGTTCTGTTCGAGTCGGCCGAAGGTTAGCCCTCGCTGAAATCGGCGCCTGTCACGGTCAAGCTGCAGCTCCATGAGGGTGGGCCCATGGCGGTGGATCACTGCCAGGAGGAGAACCGGCTCGTATGGCCCCAGAAGACACAGGTAGATCAGCGGAGGAAGCCCGTCGAACATTCCTTGAACCGCTTGGGTCCAGTTCGCCAGGGGGTAAATGCCCCGCGGGGGCCGCAGGAAGAGGGTCAGGCGCTGAAGGGCTCGGAAGGGTTGCTGGCTTGCAATTGTGCTCAGCACGGTGATGTCCTCAATTATGCCGGGCACCCACGCCGTGAGGGATTGCCAATTAACCACCCCGGACCAGGCCTCAAACCCCTCGACTGTCATAGTGGTGCTTAATGGGAGCGTGAGCACCTCCAGGCACGTCCGTGACCTTGGATCCATCTCACCCTCCGTCGGCTGAATCCGGAACCACTGATAGTAGTTCTGATAGACGCGAGAGGCAGGCCAGCGACCAGGCCGGAGCTGCAATGACAGGCGCCTAATATAGGGGACCTGTCGGAGGATATCGCGCAGAGCACGGTCGGAGTGCTCCGCGTAGGGAACATGTTGATCCTCCGGGTAGACAATCTGGACTGTATGCAGCAGCGGGGACTGGATTCATGGTGTCGCTGGGATTCCGCCAGCACCCCGCCGGTTCTGAGTGACGATCGATAATCGGCAGCGGGGATGAGGATGAGTCACGGCCACTGTACCCAGCAGCTCCAGCGGATAGGTTGGGCACATCAAGAGATCAAGCTGCTGAAAATCATGCAATTTCTCCACGAGGCGGATGACCGGGTTAAGCCGCCCTGGTATCCGCCCAGATTGCGGGGCGGGACGATGTCCTCCCCGGGCATTCGATCCAGATATCTCCGCAGCTGAGCGGCACTGTCCTTCTTCAACGGGACTGAGATAAGGAAAATATGGTAGTTAGCGTAGTGCCATGGCTCGGAGTTTTCCACAAGGTAAGTGGTTGGATTGCCTGACCCTGATACGATTCAGTCTGATCCATATCGGGAAAGTATTCCGGTCATCCTGTTGGGGATAACGATGAATTGTCCGGTGACTTTCTTGGCAGATGAGGGTCAACCGCCGGATATGCGGCAGAATGTGAGTGAGATCCAGCAGTCGGAGCACGCGACAAGGAGGCTCGGGGGTGGAAGATTCCAGGTGGAGGGTGAGATGTCGAGATAGATAAAACCCGGCCACCCGGTTCCATTGGCGGTTAACCTGGGATAAGGGCTCGTAGGGCTTTTCGCGATATATTATCAACCTACCGTACCGGTGATACCGATGGGCTCATTTGAGGACATGTTGGATCGGAGCTCGGAGAGCAGGCCAAGTTTACCTCTCTAAAAACATGCTGTTTCAGCTCCTGTGGAAGAGAAACTGCAATACCGTGTAGGCGAGGTCTAAACACTTCATGGTTACTCCACCATAGTAAAGAAACTAAATCTATCCTCTCCAGTAGTCCTCCCTCACACTATCACATTGTCTGTGCAATCATGGCGCACGGTTTCACTTCAGACCCCCCTTGGTTTTCATCGCACTCTTCAGCTTTCCAAGGTGGAAAACAGGCCACAGGATAAGGTCCTGCTGTGGTCAGATTCTTTCCCCGCCAGATGGAAGAATCGGGAATCGTGGAGGGACTTACCCAGACCGTGCGAAACGCAAAACAGTCCATCAGCCAAACAAACGTCGACGTGTTCCCAACCCAGTACCACGCGGGCGGGCACTGTCGCAGTGACTGCTGCACCACCGACCGGGCATATACCATACGATCCGTAGTATCTGGTCGATTAGCCATCCGGTCAGCATGGTAGAAACGACCCGGTGCAGTATATGCTACATACTCGGTACACGTTGTACGTGGGCCCGGAACTCTTCCTGAAGCGGAGCATAGAATGAGGCTATGAACGAAGCGACCAGAACGTTAGTTTCGAAAATAAAAGAAGAAAAGGAGGGGAGATGAGTTGGGTGAGCACGCACTTGGCGGAAGACTTCGGGAGGCATCGCGCGTCAGAATATTGGTGCCGATATTGCCAGATATAATCTACATTTCGTCTTTAGCATATCGCGACTTATAGTCCTAGGTCGAAGTGCCGCGGATTGGGGATATTACATTGATGACTCGGACGCTGTGCGACTGATTTAGCTTGGAAGATGGTGGTACAGATGGAGGGACGCAACAACGGACCCCAATGGACTCATCTCAACGCGAAGGGTATTGCCCCAGTGATGTAGCGCCGCTTTGCTGGCATTGTATGAAGCTGCAGGTTCAATGTCAGCGACACTCTTCTCATGATATATTTTCCCAGAGGACTCACAGCCATACATGTACGGCACAATCCCGCCGACCGATCCAATGTTCACCACGCATCCTTGGGCTCGAATAAGCAAAGGATGAAAGGTATGGACCATGCGAATAGGTCCAAAGACATTGACGTCGAACATTTGTTGCACCTGGCTCACATCGGTGTCGATGGCAGTCATGGTATAGCCTGCATGCATGAGTACAGTCTCGACAAAGCGTAGATTTCTCGCGCTCACATATGCCACTGTTTGATGTTAGGGCTTATCACCACGACACCAGCCAACTACCCGGGATGATACTGCTTACGCATTGTTAACTAGAATGTCCAGTCGATCGCCGACCTTGGTCTCCACCGCTTTGCACAAGGCACGCACCGACTCATCCTTCGTCACGTCTAACTGAAAGCACTGGATGCCAACGGAGGTAAGATGCTCGTGAGATTCCGACGGTAGAACCGTGGCAAGCACTGTGCAACCGCGGGCCTGGTACTGGACTGCCAATGCTTCGCCAATGCCTCCCTTCCCGCAACTGGCGATGATCTCGGGTTAGCACACAGGGGCCGTTTGTCCTTCAAGATGAAAGAAAAAGATAAAGAAAAAAAGGAAGGGATTTACCCTGTGATGAGAACGGTCACCATGATGGCTGATTCTAGTTTGGTGGATTCTAGAAGGTGAGGCGAGCTACGGTAAGATAAAGCATCTATCTGACCGGTCTGACCGGGATTACATCCTGCGTCTGACAGATAGCGAAATCAGCCATGGCCATCCTTTCTGCACAGAGAGTCAGATCGGTCGTCAGACCTCGTGTATATCTACAACATCCCAATCAACGTTAGTTGGGAGGAGGAAATGAACACAACACCACCATTTTCACAATCTACACATAGGATAGTTAGGGTCTGCCAAAGCGTAGATCTGCTCACCACCATCGCCCGCCGCAATGTCTCTCGAACACAATTCCAATGAGTCCGTGGTGATTGTCGGCATGGGTGAGTCTCCAGATTACGGGTCTGGATAAACCCCACAGGCCACGGCTAACACTTTTGGTTCCAGCTTGTCGACTGCCCGGGGGAGTGTCCTCGCCTACCGACTTCTGGGAGATGCTGGTCAACGAACGCTCGGGTCAATGCAATGTACCAAAGACCCGATTCAATGCAGACGGGTTTTTCCATCCCGAAGGTGATCGTGCTGGGGTGATGAACACCCGCGGAGGTTATTTTCTGCAGGAGGATGTGCGCCAGTTTGAGAACTCCTTCTTTGGGATCAACAACCTGGAGGCAACATACATGGATCCACAACAGCGTAAGTTGCTAGAGGTGGTCTACGAATGCTTCGAGAGCGCCGGAGTATCGCTCCAACAGGCCGCCGGGGCCGACATTGGAGTCTACGTCGGCAACTTCACTGTGGACTTCCAAACCATGCAAGCCAGAGACCCCGAAGCTTTGCACCGGTACAGTGCCACGGGCTCAGGGACAGCAATCTTGTCTAATCGATTAAGTTATATCTTCGATCTTCGTGGTCCTAGGTATGTGCAACCTCTTCATGCCATACCAACCAACACGGGCGATCTAACGGGGATGACAGTTTCACACTCGATACAGCATGCTCATCATCCATCTATTGTCTTCACAGCGCAGTCACTGCGATCAAGGCGGGCGAATGCGAAGGCGCGGTGGTGGCAGGGGCCAACTTGATTATGGGCCCCGAGCAGCATCTCGGTACCATGAAGGGAGGGGTCTTGTCCCCAACCTCCACCTGCCATACCTTTGATGCCAGCGCTGACGGCTACGGACGTGCCGAGGGTGTCAGTGCCTTGTATATCAAACGCTTGTCCGCTGCCCTGCGAGACGGTGATCCCATCCGTGCGGTCATCCGCGGCAGTGCGGTGAATGCGTATGTTTGTTCTGTCGACATCTGGTTAGGATTATCTGCTAACGCGAGCACAGAAATGGCAAAACCTCTGGGATCACCCAGCCCAGTATTGCGGGACAGGCTGAAGTTATCCGCAAAGCCTACCGCGTGGCTGGAATTGATGCACAAGACACCGAATACGTTGAGTGCCACGGCACGGGCACTGCAGTCGGCGACCCCATGGAGGTGGAGGGTCTGAGTCGAGTTTTCGCGCGCAAAGGAAGGTCACCTTTGCTCATTGGTGCTGTAAGTCACTTCCTTTTTGACTCCTTTGCTTGATTTGTTATGTATGGCCTGACTCAAGAGGGTCCTCTAAGAATAAAACCAATGTCGGCCACAGCGAGGCAGCCAGTGGGATCACCGCCGTGATCAAGGCGATCCTTGCCTTTGAGCACAAAGCTATTCCTGCCACCATTGGCGTGGTCAACTTGAATCCGAAGTGTAAGTTCCGTCTAGCACGCGACTTGACGCCGAACAGAAGCCAGCGATTCTAACGAGCGCAGTGAAATTGGATGAGTGGAACATGAAGATTGTGACCAGGCTGACCGACTGGTCCTCGAATGTGCGCCGTGTCAGTATCAACTCTTTTGGGTATGGGGGTGCCAACGCCCACACGGTATGTTCCCCCCCTTGGTGGTGTAGGGGTCTGATCATTGAGCCTGACTGGTCATGGACAGATTCTGGAAGATCCGATTCAATACCTGTCCTCCATCAACAAACTGCCTCAGTCTCTAGGCGACAACCCACTCCCCGACACGACCTTTCTACTTCCGCTGTCTGCCTCAACTTCTGAGGCTCTGGAAGCCAGGGTAGTCGATCTGGGCCACTACATCCAGAATGCCACCGAGATAGACTTCGCCAGTCTGGCACATACTCTTGCGAACCGCCGTTCCAGGCTCTCTCGGCGAGGATACATTCTTGCCAGTCCGGCAGCAGCCAAGACCGATCTCACTGTGGGGAATTTGGTCTCAACTGCTCTCCCGGGCCGTGACCTCGTCTTTATTTTCACAGGTCAGGGTGCTCAGTGGCCCGAGATGGGTCGCCAGCTGCTGGAGAAGAGTTACGTCTACCGTAAGACCATTGAAGAGCTCGACCATGTGCTCCAGAGTCTGCCCGAGGCACCTGAGTGGTCGATCAGGGATGCGCTCCTGGAATCTGCGCCTCACAGTCGGGTGGGGGATGCGAGATATTCCCAACCGTTGTGTACTGCCGTCCAGATCGGACTCGTCAAGCTGTTGGCCTCGTGGAAAATCTACCCTCAGATGGTCGCTGGCCACTCGTCAGGCGAGATTGCGGCTGCATTTGCCGCGGGCTTGCTGAGTGAGGCCCAGGCTATCATGGTTGCCTATTATCGAGGTTATGTGGTCGGACAGCTGCAGTCTCAGGGCTCCATGATGGCGTTCGGAGGCAGTGTTGAAGATGCCCAGCAGTTGATTCAGAAGCTATCGCTGCAAGAAGAAGTAGTTGTCGCCTGTGTCAACTCGCCTGAGAGTGTAACGCTTTCGGGCAGCGTCTCCGGCATCGATTCCCTTTTACAGGCTGCCTCGCAGATGGGCAAGTTCGCTCGGAAGTTACAGACTGGTGGCAAGGCCTACCATTCGTACATGATGCAAGAAGTTGGGGAGCAATACAGTCGCCTCATTGAGGCCGCCTGGCCAGCCCTTCCGGGCAACTCTAACGACCGCGAGGTGCGATTCTTCTCCAGTGTGGGCATCGACGGCCCCAACTGGTACAGTAGCAAGACCAGCAAAACCCTGCCGCTGAGCTACTGGCGCCAGAACCTTGAAAGTCCCGTTCAGTTTACAGCGGCCATTACGCGCATCCTGGAGGAGAAGGGAAAGTCTCATCTGATCGAGATTGGACCGCACTCCGCCCTGCAGTTGCCCATCAAGCAGATCCGCACTTTCTTGGCCCAGTCAGTGGATGACGTCCCATATAGTGCGACCCTGGTCCGTGACAAAGATGCCATCTCTTGCCTGCGAGTCCTAGCGGGAGAGCTGTATCTCCGCGGACACGATCTGGACATCATGGCTGTCAATGACGCTGCACCTGCCACCGCCAGAGTTATCCCAGATCTTCCCCCGTACCACTGGAGCTATACACAGCTACTGTGGCGAGAGTCGAGACCCAGTAGCGATCTCCGTAACCGACAGCATCCGCGTCATGAATTGTTGGGATCGGAGATGGCTGCGCTGAACGGGATTGACCGGGTGTGGAAGAATACAGTGAGGCTATCCGAGGTGCCCTGGTTGGAGGACCACAAGTTGGAAAGTCAGGTTGTCTTTCCGGCCGCAGGCTACATCGCCATGGCGATCGAAGCGCTTTCTCAAATTACCGGGGCTGTCGCATCGAGTCCCTCCTTCTTATTGCGCAATGTCAACATCGCGACTGCGTTGGTCGTATACGCCGACGAACAGCAACAGGCCGATCTCTATACTACCGTCTCCCCGGCTCGCATCTCCAAGGCGGCTGCCTCCAGCAACTGGTATGAATTTAACATCTCGTCCCGCCAGGATCAAAGCACGGTGATGCATTGCACTGGCCGCATCAGGCTGGGAACAGATGTCCCTGCGCCTACGGTTACGGTCGACACCGCTGAATACGAGGAATGGACGATGGGGTCCTGGTATGCCAAGCTGGCGGAGGAAGGGCTTGCATTCGGGCCCGCCTTTCAGTCCCTGACTTCCATGAAGACGGATAAGAGGCGAGTCAACCCAGCTGCGGTGTCCAAGACCGCCATCCTGCAGCGCAAGGGTCGGTCTTCGGTCTATCCTGGCGATTATTATGCCGTTCATCCCCTCACCATTGATGCCTGTTTGCAGGCCGCGATCATGGGCGGCACAGCGGGAAATCTCGGACAGCTTCGTGCCCATCTCCCTGTATTCCTCGACCATTGCGAGATCAGCACCCCAGTCAGTGAGAGTGTGAACTCGACCGGGTTGATCCATACCGAGTCCCAGAGCACTGGTTTTGGCACGAAGACTATTGACGCCACATTGAGCGATGACTTCGGCTCCGCGGTGATCAATCTGCGGGGGGTCCGCTTGTCCCTGTACATGGGACGCCCCGAGCTTGAGCACTCCTCCTCCCTAGCTCGCCATCCCTGTTTGCGTGTCGTATGGAAACCTGATCTGTTGCGGGTGACCGCAGAGGATGAAATGCCATTCCGAGACTACATCACCCACTTCCTCCACAGCCATCCTGATTTAGCGGACAACACCAAGGTCGGCGTGGTGGCCGCCCTGCTAGATCTCGCTGCGCACAAGAACCCACGCCTACGCGTGTTGGAGCTTGGCAATGGATGCGACTGCAAGACCCGCGAGTGGCAGGATATCCTCGACCAAAAGACGGATTTTCCCCGGATTCGAGAGTGGAAGACCGCGGACGATGGGGAGGTCGAAGGGAGGTACGACGTGGTTCTACTCCCGCACGACGCCGGAAGCCGATCTATGGCCCAGGTCAACCACTTGCTGAGCCTAGTCGAGAGTAATGGCATCCTTGTGGCGCGAACAGGGTCTCTCACATCAGCTCACCTGGAAGACCGTGGGTATACGGTGTTACATCTGCAATCCGGCATCAGTCTCGTCGTTCCTTCTCAGCCACTGCGCACATCTCATAACCGGTTGGTTCTACTGCATCACCACGCTTTGAAGATTGCCGATGTTTTCAGTCAATTCTTTGGGTCTGAGAACCTGATTGCGGCCTCCCTGGATGACGTGACGGCGGA